GGAGGGGGGGGGGGTTTGGAGCGGGAGAGCAATGCAATAGTAAGGCACTCGATTTCCAACAAAAGGACATCCATTTATTTCTTGATTTTTTTCTATTTTAATGACGATCACTCTCATTTAGCCTGGATGATTTGTAGAGGTACTCTATCAAGTCTTTTGTCAAATACCAGCTGAGCCAATTTGGAGTTTTCCCATGATTTCTCGTAGTTGGTATAAAGAGAAATATTCTTGTGTAAAATTTAAATGTATCTCTATCTGATAATTCCCTCCCTTTTCATGTTAGTTTGAGTAAAACTAGGTCATAGCTCTACTAGGTAACTGGTAGATTGAAATAAACTTTTGCTGAGGGGAGAAGCATGCATGGTGAAAAAATATTTCCTACTTTAATGTTACCAGTTTCAAAAAAAAAATATTTCCTACTTTGACTGGATGTAGAGGCCAACAGAATCCAGCAGTATTTTCTGAGAGCTGTAAGTGTAGAACTAGAAATGGTTGCGTGCATTGCATCATGAGAGACAATCAACCAAAAGAATGGGGATTAGAATGCCAAACACCACATAGTTAGCTTCTCTAATGCCATCAAACCTTAAATCACTTGGATTAAGGACGAGTGGAAATATGAAAGGCTCTCCAACTTCTCCTTGCTCTATGGCACTTAAAGAGAAATATTCTTGTGTAAAATTTAAATGTATCTCTATCTGATAATTACCTCCCTTTTCATGTTAGTTTGAGTAAAACTAGGTCATAGCTCTACTAGGTAACTGGTAGATTGAAATAAACTTTTGCTGAGGGGAGAAGCATGCATGGTGAAAAAAATATTTCCTACTTCGACTGGATGTAGAGGACAACAGAATCCAGCAGTATTTTCTGAGAGCTGTAAGTGTAGAACTAGAAATGGTTGCGTGCATTGCATCATGAGAGACAATCAACCAAAAGAATGGGGATTAGAATGCCAAACACCACATAGTTAGCTTCTCTAATGCCATCAAACCTTAATCACTTGGATTAAGGACGAGTGGAAATATGAAAGGCTCTCCAACTTCTCCTTGCTCTATGGCACTTAAAGATGCTTCTTTGCCTACAATTAGTATTCCATAATACTACTTGCAAGCTTATAGTTTACAACAATACATTATAGATTCAATTGAACAGAACTATACATACACTTCAGTTCAGTTCTTCCTCGCAATACCTCCATTATAAGTTTTGGTTCTTTATTAATTTTATTCAGATAATATTTTGTTTCAAATATTTATAATAATCACTATTATTATTACTATTACTACAGCTGCTACTGTTCTAATTGATGTTGCTGGAACAAACCTTTCATCTTGGCTCAACTTAATAATACTTTGTTTCTTTCTAGGTATGGCGGAGGAATCACTCCTGAAGGAAGAAGGGATCACTCCTAGAACAAGAAGGAAAAAGAGCCATATTTGTGGACTCTTAGACCTATTCTACTTTACAAAAGTTTCAACCCAAAACTCTATTTCCTAATGCTACTGAAAACTTCAAATTGCAAAATGGAGGAGCAAAATCTTCCCTTCTCTATATGTTTCTTCTACTTTTAAGTTGTCGGAATTATCCTAAGCATGAAATTCTTGACACAAGGCAAAGATCTTAGTGTAACAGCTTGTATCTGTGTTTATTTTGCAGCCCCATCATCCATGTCTTTGAGAAAACTAGGAAAATACACCATGTTGACTTGGGCACTTGGAAAGAAGTATGCTTGGTAGATACAAGAGAAAGACAAGCTTTGATTAGAAAAGCTGAGAGTAATTGGCTTAAAAAATTTAAAGAACAATAAATACTAGATATTTTCAAGGTCTTCTTATTATCGGGAAACGGAGTCTTAATACTTTCTAATTATCAAACTTTCATCAACAATCAAAAGGGTAAGTGGAGAAGGAAAATTAAAACATGACCGCAGCATTGGGTTCATTGTTTTTTTCACAACCCATCATTTTGACCAAAAACTGAAGGAAGTTCCAATGCATAAGATCATAGATAAAAGTAGTCAAGTCACATGTATGTAAAGACAAGTCTGTGCCACTCACTCTTACTGGAAAATCCCAACTCTCCCAGTTTTACTACTTCTTTCTCTTCTCATTTTTAAAAAATTGATCTTCTACACACCTAGGTTCGATGTTTCACTCATCTGCTCACTCTAAGCTTTGTCCAATATAACAATCTTGAAAACCGAAATCCTATCAGATGCATACTGGTATCATGGCAGAGAGATCCTATTTGATTCTATATTGCTTCTATTACTGCTCCAACTATTAATTCTATTTTGCTACCATCACTGCTCCAACTAGTGAATCTATTGTGTCTACCATTACTGCTCCAACTAGTGAAGCTTGTGCATATTCTTCTTAGTTCACCTTATTTTATTTTTCTTTGTAATTCTACAAGTAGAATTAAATAGATAATAAAATAGAGAGTAGTTGTTTAGAATATGATGACTGTAAAGAAAAGAAGGCAGTCCCTTCAATAAATGTAAACTGTACATATAATAATTTTTTTGCTTAAATTGTTCTATATTTTGTGGTGACTAAACTTGGGATATGATAATAGAAATTCTGCTTTGTAAAAAGGTGTACCTGAGATTTCACTGATATTTTGTTTTTGCTTTGTTTAAGTGCTTCATTTGAGTAACAATCGACCTGTTGATTTAGCTCAAGCGTGTTTGTTCTTGTGTAAGGAGAGAAGGACTAGACATGGAGTGAGAAGCTGGTTTGGACCTTGTTTGAAGTTAATATGAAAAGCTCAAATAATCATAACCATCAAAGGCTACGGTCACTTGCAACTGCAATCCAATTTTCACTGAAAAAAAAGAATAAAAAAGCAGAGAAAAGAGAGGGCATTAGTGACCTCCCAAATGAATTAGCAATTTCCAGCTGCAGATGTTAATATAAGAATTTATACCATGATATGTTATAACTAGACCGGTAAATGAGCTGGCTGAAAATGGGTTAGACAGACCCGACTTGCTAATATTTGGTACCGGCATAAAGGGGTTGAGTGATGGAAAATATGAATAACTGATACTTCTAACCTACAATTTTTACTAGACACAAATTTACAAAGGCATTATGTCAACATCAATGAAAGCTCGTTAAAAGTTCCAAGGATCTCGATTCAATTTTTGTCAACTTATCATAAGTTCTAATGAAAATTCACATCAAGTGTTTCTCTTATTTATGAGTACATAACTCAGCTAACCCAAAAAAACAAAACAAAAAAAGAGATATTATGAAGAAAACCAAATCTATTATATGGTCCAGAAATGAATCAGATTTTTTAAAAGTTAATGTGACAACTTTCATAAATTTTTAGAACAATTGTAAACATCACTGTGAGCAATAAATCTTAATTTTGAACATCAAATTACATTGCAAATATTAGAGGTGAAATGAAGCATATATGAAACGAGAAAATAATAAAATAGGAAATCAGGAAAGAGAAAAAGAAGAGAAGCTGAAAACAGTAGAGGTAGATGAGTCAAACCCATATGGAACAAGACACGTGGGCATTTGCTAGAAAGAGTGATAAGTGCCAATGATTTAACCAAACGGTGCACCAACCAGGCGAACCTTTACACTCAGTGTCGGCCCCGTGGACACCGCCAGACCACTACCATCGGTGGCGGGACAGGTAAAAGTTCTACTCACAATGACGGACTACTTCTCTAATAAATGGGTGAAGTGGAGGGTCTAAAGAAATATTTGGGAATGCGAGTTGATAGACTTCATCTAGGGCCACATAATTTGCCTTACATTTTAAGCTCTCTTTATTCTCGGGTGCCAAGCTTTGTTATCCCAGGATCATCTCCGGGAGAGCAAGAATCATCCTCAGACGCTTCACTTGACGTCCCAAGCTCTCGAACACTTGGCTTTGCTTTGTTTTACCCTGCTTAGCTTTACTTTGTTTCCATCTTCATTTAGATTATTATCATGATACTCAAACTGCTAAAAATCAATCTATCTTACTAGCTAAGTCGATAATGTGTGCCTTGACCTCATACAAATTAAATGATAAACAATTTTGTTAATTACTAATAAGTTTGAATGAAAATTCACAAAAAGTATTCTCATAAAAATGAATACATAGCCTAGCTACAAAAGAAAAAGGAATACCACGTAAAGTACAAATTTTACTATATAGTTTAGGAAAACAAAGTTAGAATTGAAATGAAGCATTTATGCAACGAGGAAATAATATATTTACTAATAGAAATACTTAAAAATGACGCTACAGAGCTAAAGCAGGTCTATCCATTTTCGAGTCAAGTATACACCTTTTACAGCCGGTTATGATTCGACCCGTTTTGACAGATCAATTATCATGACAGACAGGTAGTTGCATTTTTTTTTTGTTAACATCAATTATAATCGGACGAAAAAGAAAAAAAAAATCCAGATACAGTAAGATCTGTCTGCGAGCTTGGTTTGCGGATTAGAGGATCTGTTAAATTTCCCATGACACAGCCGGGAAAATAACAATGGCGAGTAAATTATTTCCAAATACATCTGTACCATATATGTCAAGGTCGAATTAACAACGAACTCTTACCGGTAACCGTTTGGCTGATTTTCCATCAAAAAGTAAGATGGTCGGAATTCTCTTGGACCGAGAAGCAGGAGTGTTTAGACGATGATGGAGATAAGTCTGGAAAAGACGGAAGTGATGTTTTGTTTTGTTTGTTATCTTTTTATTTTTAATTATTAAGTGAGAGAAGGGAGAGAAAATCTATATCTATATCTATATCTATTTATGAGGAAAGTCTCAAAATAATTCCTCATTTTTGGATTAAGATTCAAAGTCATTCTTGAGTTTCACATGGAGCACTAATAGTCCCTCATGTTTACAATATTGGTGCACTTTAGGTCCTCCTCCAAAATTTGCCTATTTTTTAACATTGATTTTATCCATAACTTATGTATGATATGTTCAATCGTCATTTTATATATTTAGTAGAAATAATAACTCCATATGAGAGAATGTGAGAAGAAAAACATTTTGTTTTGTTTAGTAGAAATTGTATTGCAGTAATATTTCTACTGAACAAAACAATGTGCTCTTCTTATCACCTTCTCTCACATAGAGTTATTATTTATACTAAATATATAAAAAGACGATTGGACATTTCTTACATAAAATTGTGGACAAAATTAATGTTAAAAAATAGGCAAATTATTTGAGGAGGACCAAAAGTGCACCAATATTACAAACATGAGGGACTATTAGTGCTCCATATAAAGCTGAATGATGACTTTGAGCCTTAACCCAAAGATGAGGGACTATTTTGAGTCTTTCCTCTCTATATCTATATCTATATCTATAGCTGTACTATCTAAAAATTATGAACTCCCACACTTGAATATTGAATTATTATAATACCCCCAATTAAAAATACTCAATTTATTTTATTTATTATATTGAAAGTAGATACCTTTGCAAATTAAAGGATTGTGACCTTTTTCAATGAATTGTAACTTTTCCAAAGAGTTGCGACTTTTTCAAAGGGTTCTGATTTTTCCAAAGGATTGTAACTTTTCTAAAGGGTTGTGTCTTTTCTGATAAGTTGTGACTTTTTCGATAAGTAGTAACTTTTTCGAAAGGTTGTGACTTTTCGGATAAGGCACAATTAATACTTATTCATACTACTATTTGGTAGCTATAAAAAGAGGGGTTGCCTCACACTTTTAAACTACAATGTCTTTAAGTTCTCTACTATTCTTCTTCTTAAAAAATCTCAAGTGTTATTTGCAAAAATTGATCAAGTTTGAAATTCAATGAAATTTAAGGTACCTCATAAGAAAAAGTTGGTGAAAAAATTGTAGCAAATCATTCATCAATTCACACTCGTATTTTTTCTTACCATTTTCATGAGTTAACAGTGATAAAAAGTTGTGGGAGAGACAATAATATTAAACAGATATGAAAAAAGACATATGATTTGGGTAATATATTTCTTCTTTGTTTTTTTTTGTTTTTTTATTCTTTTCCCTCAAACGAAGGAATTTCTTCCTAATTTTTCTAAAACAATGGGTATCAACGTAGTCCATTGAATTATTAGTTTTGATGTTAAATTCACTATTTCAAAAATAGATTTTCACTTTTACTTATAATATGGTAACATAGCCATGCTAATAATTATTTTTAACAGATATGTACGTAAAAATGAACGGAGAACGTTAAGTGTTGGTGGAAAGAGATTTAAATCAAATGGAACACTAGATTGAATATTGCATGTACATATATTTTCGTCTCTATGTATTGTTCCATATAATTTTCTTTATGTCGCAAGATACACTCCTTACTAGCTATATAAAAATGATAAGAAAATAGTGATTGATCATAAAGTGATCTTAAATCAAAATTATTGATTCTATAATAATACTTTACATTTTATTCATCTATTCATTTTTATTATTGAAAAATTTAAAATATTTTATATCATGATACAACTTCTATAAGATACTAGATACTTTCATTAGACAACAACTACATGATATGTATGCGGCAAAAAAAAGGAAAAGACTACAATTCCACAAAGATAAGGTATATATAATTAACCATCATTCATGATAACAACCACGCACACATTTTAGTAAAATTACTTCTCTATAATAGCCTTACTCAAATATTAATAGAGTAATAATATTTTGTAAAAAATATGTTACATACAAAGATAAAATATTGAAATACTTATGGTAATCCTTATTAGTGTCATGCGCATACTAAATTTCAAGTATAAATATTTAAGACATAATTTGTACTTAAACGGTGTACATTATTTATGTTCATAACCTCAAGAGGAAAAGCTATTGGTGACATCTTTTGAATGGACATTTTTTTTTTCTATTGGGAAAAGGGTCTAATATACCCCTCAACTTTGTTATTTAGAGCTGATATACCCCTCGTTATGAAAGTGGCTCATATATACCCCTACTTATACACAAATGGCTCACATATACCCTTCCCTCTAACGGAAATGAAAAAAAAAAAATTCGTTTAAGTTTTTATTATTTTTTTAAAAAAAAAACTATAATCCCATACGGGTATATTTAATCTTCCTCAAACATATTTTTTTGTTTCAATGGCTAATTTGGATTTATTATTTTGATGGTCAAATTTATTTATGTTTCACTAATATTCTTGTAAAACTTATTATAGATGACCAATTTTTTTCTTCAAATACAAAAATTAAATTACATTATAGAATAAAAAAATTGTTTTAAATTATAATATAGCCACAAAAAAATAGTTTTAAATTTTTTTCTTTACACTAAGGAATGAAAGAAAAAATAAAATAAGAATAAGAAACTAAAATAATGAAGATCAAAGAAGTCAAAAAATAATTTATGTATGAAAAAATTGAAATATACCTTGAACTTTCTAGAAGAATCCTATATACCCCTAAATGATTTTAAAAAAAATTAAAAGTCAAAAATATAAGTTTAAAATTAATTTTTTCACTTATTTTAACTGAAGGGTATATGTGTGCTCATTTTGTAACGGTAGGGGTATATGTGAGCCATTTGTATAACGGTAAGGGTATATATGAGTCACTTTCATAACGAGGGGCATATCAGCTCCAAATATCAAAGTTGAGGGGTATATCAGACCCTTTTCCCTTTTCTATTTTGTTGGTTAGATTTGTTCATAAAATTGAGTGAAGTTAGAAATAATATAATTATAGAAATGTCACTTTCTCCCATATTTAAACTTTGGATGTATTTTGAAATGTTTTAATGATATCTGGTCATTTTGATCTCGAAATACAAGTAATTCTATGACAATATGTATTAATAATTTAAAAACACTTGTCCTATGTTTGTTCAATTATAATTATTTACTAAAAATCTTTAATTTAGTAATATTAATTCTATTTTATAACATCATATACTATATATACGATACACACGTGCAACGCACGTGCCGTAAAACTAGTTAAATGAAATAAGTCTTGGTTTTGTTTTTGGTGACACTTTGACCAAAAAATGGTCAAATCCACTTTAAAATGTAATTAAGTTAATCTGGGATCAAATTAACATTTTCAAAACTTTCTAATATTTTATAAAATACAAAAAAGCACTACATTTTTCATCTACTTTAATTCTATTCAAACTATTTAAAAAAATAGTAAAAGAAAATAGAATTTTCTCTCTTCTTTTTCTTCCTTATAAAATCCGATCATTCTCTCCCCATTATCTTCCTCCTTATCTCCGGTAGTCACTCTCTCTTTCTGAAGTGAAGGTCGTGTTCGACTTAAAATGGTTAAGTCATTTTTTTGAAAGATTTTACAATTTTGAACAACACACTCTTGATACTGAGTTCTTTTCTTGGGTAAATGAACAAGAAATCGTTCTATATATGTGAAAATTGAATAATGGTGTATATCTATCATTTTTATTTTTGAAAGAAAATCGACAAACCCAAAAAAACCCTAATTTTTAGGAAATATGTATTGTTGTTCTTCAATGAATAGTCATTTTTGTTGCTTTTGTTCTTCTTTTTGTGACCATTTTGTTCATATGATTGTAGAAATATACTCTTGTTCAGTTGACCAACATTTTGTTCATCTTGTGTTGTATGTTGAAACATAATTAGTGATATGTTGGTACATATTCCAACATAGTTGTCATATGTTGGAACATGTCACCTATGTGTTAGAGAAACAAAATGATCAATTGTAGTAACAGGTTACCCATATATTGAAATAGAAGATTCATCTGTGTCAAGAAAAAATACACCTGTGGCAACCGAACATAATGTTCATCTTTGTCAACATAAGTATAAATTGCTACCCTTATTATTTTATAATCAGTTGTAAACTCTTGACCTTTTTTTATTTACCTTGTAGATAAAATGTCACAAGGAGCTTCATCTGTGGTAACAACTCAATCTTTTGCTAATACTGCTTCCTCATCTAACATCAAATGCTCTTCTTGTCTATGCGAAAGATGTGAGCAGCAACGTGAATATTTAATTAGTCGTGTTAAAGAACTCACTAATATTTTTAATGAAATGACATATAATATTGATGTCCATATATCCAAGAAGATTTCACAACCTTTGAAGTGTAGGAGGTTGAAAAAATCAATTTCCGATCACTATCTATAATTAGTAAAAGAAAAAAAATCAGTGACTACTGCTCCAGTATCTTCCTCAATCACAAAAGGCAAGGTGAAAGAGAAAGAGAAAGAGAAGAAAGTCGTCAGTGGTGATGTGAAGAAGCAACAATATCCATTTGAAGGTTTTAATATTGTCGCCGAGGGTCCAACTGAACTAATGTTTTCCTTCTCTCAATGAATAAACGATGGTCTTTACAAGCATCATGCAAAAAAGTAAGGTCATTTAACTATTATTAGTACTTCTTGATGTCCACTAAATTTATTAGTTTTAATGTTTACACAATTACATAAGAGACAAGGATGATCACTACTTAGTCAATTGCTCGAAACTTGGATTCAATCAACTTGATTTTATAGTAGTATTTTCGAAGAAAAAGGACTTCTCTACTTAATGTCTCAACCCAATAGGTGTTGGACTGATGAGGTAAATTCATGCCCACTTATTTTTGATTAAGACATGGATATATACAAATAATTGATACAAAAATACACTTGTTGATGCAACTGTGCAGCATGTGAATGCCATTTTGTACTATTTACAGAAGAAATTTAAGCAACAGAGTCATTCTAAATATCGA